ACGGAATTCGGCATAACTGTATGGTAATGTATATGAAACCTTTACATATCGATATCCTTTTCCGGTAACCGTTGTCAGTTTAACGATTATTAGCATCGCTCGTCTGAAGATATGAGGGGTCATTTTCAAGATTGAAAAAAAGTTGGACACCAATCGCGTGGAAGCAAGGACGCGGACATCCCACACTACATAGATACAGGAAAGAAAATTGAAATACTAAGACTTGACTACTGTACTACAGAGTATCAATAGAGAGATAATAGATGTCCTCAACTTTTATCGTTTTGCCTGTAGGTGTAACCCTGATTGGATGAGAAAGTGATGAAATTGAAATTTTCCTTTACCTAATAACGTGTATGATTTAATGGGGTATGGACAGTTGAATGGTGTATAGTGGGTAATATAGTTTATTTTGAACTTTGTATCGAAGGGCCACTATTTTGTGTTGGAAAATAATATGTCTAGCCTTGTTGGTGTCGAGACTAATTTGCAACAAGATGATGTCACTTTACCTTGCCCTTAACTGCCCCCTTTTGATGTCAGAGTGGACTAAAGAGCTTCTTTCTCCACATAGGTAGGGTGCCCCACCATAAATAAATATCTCCAAATATCTCGACAATTACACCACAATATTTATATACACAAGGACTTAAATCAGTTTCAAACATTTATAGTCACTAAATAAACGGTCATGCTGTACTTAATAAGCTATGACCACTTAATCATCCATAAATAATACACTGAAAGATGGTTACGAGTGTCGGCCATAACATCCGAGCACATATGAGTACAAAATAGGTTACGTGCCCTTGTTTTGAAACACGCACGTTGGGCAATTCAACAATTGTTTTAAGAACCTTGTAAAAGTAAAATGAAACTACTGCTAGTATCGTGTTCTTGCCCAACGCAAGTATTTCAGAGATATTGTTTATACTAAACCAAAAGATGTCACTCCTAACGGTACAGTTAATGATAAAGCAATTTTAAAAAATAAAACGAACGTAATATCTAAAGCTGCTGTAATAACCAATAAGCTAAATATTACTGCTATTCAGAATCGTCAGCAATAGATTTTTTTACGGCTGTTATAGTTGATAGATGTGTAGATCGGAATTGGACGTGCGATGGCTATTTATAGTATCACGGCTGAGTATTATTTTACTGCGTAGTAAGCGAGAAATCACTTCGGATCAAGCCACTGAAGCGTTTACATTCGCCGTGTCGAGACCAACTTTCTGTACGGAAAATTTTGGGTGCACGGGTCACCCTAACATAGGATCGACACCGTCTCTGGACTTAATTTATGAGAGTAAGCAAATACTTTCAATGTCAGATTACAAGTTGAACACCACCTACGATTCCCACGCACGTGCGGCAAGTTGAGCGAGTTGGCTGAGGGGAACGCACGCCAAATATATTGTATACACTTATCGACGGGAAAAACATAGAAAGAAAGTAAAATGGCAAATGAACATACATTTAAAAGACAACAGTAATTAACAATGATTAAAAGATTTTACACATTTTACTAACTCCTTTTTATACGTCAACATTTTAATGTGGACGTATAATAATACGGTCAAGAGACGAAGAAAACTATTGATTTTCAGCGACATCCTATAATTGCTTGTCGAGTTATGGTCCTTGGTCACTTTGATAAATCTTGTGGACGCTCTAAAGGCCAAATAATTTCTGTCAGAGATATGCCCCTTGATTACATTGTTAAATCTTGTAGACGCTCTGCAGGCTAAAATTATTATCCGGTTGACTTTAATTTGGTACACAGCAGTGATGGGATTTAAAAATTTTCTTGTCGGACATTTTTACCGAAAATAAAGGGACATAACTCTTATCGTTATTTAAACGCCTCTGACACTACGGTGTCGTTAAATAGATCAATAATGAATTACTTCCCCTTTGTGATACGGCCCGTGATACTATCGTCTAGGAGTTTTCTTTGACTTCACATCATGATAACTATTTTCAATGTTAAATTAAGACTGGAACACTTTTTACGCTAACTATGTTTTTATATCTTTATAACATCCATAATACAGGAAACTACCTACACCGCTATGACACCAAATATAAGCTACATATAAGTTCTCTTTCCCCAGCTTGTGTTTACTAGATTACGATTAACATCATTCTCTATACCCCAACCTTTCGTAGGACAAGTTTACTGATGTACCCCCTAACATCATATGGCTCTCCTACAACTTAACCGGGTTCTCTAATCCGAATGATGTTTTTTTATTTCCTAGCCTCTCAGCCCAGGAGGCTGTGGTGTTCCCAGCTTCCCAAGGATATCTAAAGAAACTTCAACCGCGCACGTTCGTTATAAAGAGGTTACGTCCGCGCACGTTCTTTATAAAGAGGTTACGTGCATGAGTCATGTATCGAGCCCCGGGAAAATGACCAGGTGCTTCCTTTACCGGATTGGTCAAATGCAAAGATGCTACCCTAGATTTCAACACAGTGTACTTATATGGGCACCACGATTCTAACACATGGCGTTACTATATTTGGATTATCAGACTATGATGTCATTGCCCACTTTAAACCAGACATAGTCTTGTTAGCCTATTTCTTGTTAGTGGTACTAGCTAACGACGACGAAACATTAACCAGAACTTCGCTACAGAATTTAGGTAACCTCCACAGTATATAGACCCCATAGTGTTATACCTCTTGATATTTTAGGATTTCCGATAATTACTACCAAATAGTTGGCCCTTGATCACTTTGAAAAATCTTGTGGATGCCTCGAGGCTAAAGTTATTATCTAATTGACTTTAAATTTATACACAGTATTTTACGGTCATGAGACATAAGAAAATGACTGCCGGACGACCTAGCTGCTTTCGCCGTATGTTTCGTTGCCTGGAAACCTAGCTTAAGCCTGTACGCCCACTAGAGGTCAATTGTTTCCGATTAAAACATAGATTTATACCCCAAAGACCTCAGTTCCTTTCGATATTGAAGCTCGTCGGACCGTAAGATCCAGGATTATGGACCCTGATTGTACGAAAGTCGTTGTTTTAGCTTGTTCTCTGACCATCTGTGGCAAAATGTGTGCGTATCTTGCATGACAACCGCTTGTTGAAAATAAAACATGAGGACGCTTGTTTCACACAGGTTCAGGTAGTGAATTCCAGAATAAAGAGGCTGTATATTGAAATGTTCTTGCCGTTGTCCTTTTTCTTAATATTTGGAATTGCTAATTTAAGTTCACCCCCAATGTCATGTTAGTTTCGGTCAATTTAGAATTTCCAGATATTATGTTATAAAAATGTGATGATAATTTGTCTCTTAGAATTTCGAAGTGGTACATTAAAATCTTGTCATTGTCTTGTTCTAATGTTTTGGAATTACTAATTAAGTTGACTTTCTGACCTTAATGTCATGGCAGTGTCGGTCAATTTAAAATTTCCACAGAATATGTTATGAAAATATGATGATAATTTGTCTATTAGAATTTTGAAAGTGAGTATTATCTGATTGTATTGAATGCGTTTGTGGATTTCGAGCCAATTAAGAGATTCAAATAAATGTGAAGGTTGTGAATCGAATTTTCATCCAAACTGCTCCTCGCTGCAGGTAATAAATCATAACAAAAGTATTGTAGTAAGATTGGTAGAATTTTTGCTCTTTAAATTAATGATAGCATTATATTATATCTTTAATTAATTATTTGATTAATTTTTTGGTTCACACATTCTATAGAAGTCAGATCTCATGCACTCAAATAATGAGTGACAGATTTACACATAAAAAGTGTTATAAAACCAAAACATACCTGGTTCTATGTGTCAACAAAATATCACCAGGTATTTGGCTTAAGTAACTAATTAATTACGTGATATTTGACCAATTAGATCATTGAAAGTCCAAACCCTACGCTAAAAAAAAATCTGTCAAATCTCAGGGCATTCGACAGACAGTCCAATCCACAGGGACAGAGCCACGCTCATTTTCTCTTTGTGTGTCTGTCTGTCGCCTACTGGCAACAATTCTTAATGGATCCTCTGGAAAACTTTTCATACTTATTCATTATACACTAAGGATGACCCCTTTTTTATATTTGGTGCATGCCCAACCCCCTGGGACAGAGCCACGCCCAATTTGTGTGTGTCTCTGTGTCGCCTATTGGACGCATTTCTTAACAGATTCTTTTGAAACTTTGCATACCTATTCCTTATAGGTTGATTCCCATTGTATTTGGTGAATGCCCGACCCCCATCGACAGAGCCACACCCATTTTTCTTTTTGCGTCTGTGTGCTGCCTACAGACGTCAACTCTTCGTGGATCGTCTATTCCTTATAGCCTAAAGACTCCAGCTATTGATTTTGGTGCATGCCCAATTTTGGTGATGATCGTATACAGGTCGCAATTCTGAATGGATCAGCTTGGAACTTGGCATATGTATTCCTTATAGCCTAATGACGGCGACTATTGATTATTGTGCATGTCCCCACTCCCAGGCTACAATTCTGAATGGATTATCTTAGAACTTGGTATAAATATTCCTTATACCTAAGGACGGTAATTATTGATTTTGGTGTGTGACCCCACCCCCCTTGGACGGTGCCACACCCACGTTTTGTTATTATTTTTTCTGAAAATCATATGGATAGTGTCAGGTTGAGAAACCAAACATAGCATGTGACAGTACCACCAACAAAATCAAATTACTATTTCCGTGGTACAAGCTCATTGATGCGTTATCAGATTCATTTGAGTTGTGGCGTTGCACAATTCCCCATATGAGTTCAAATGACTGCATTTCTAACCGTCATTTTAGGCATATGTCAAGTCATTTACGTAATTGAACCAAATTGACACAACCAGGACCCAGTTTTGGGCGTGGCGCTATGTGCCACCGGGGCAATGAATCGAATAAAATTGGGCCGTAAGTCATGTGATTAGTAAGGTACCGACATGTAAATTCATTAAGGAAGACCAAAGGTCTGTTGAGTATTGAAAAAAAGAGAAAAGAAACAGGCGTTATTTGTTTTTAATTTAGCTTCACAGTGTAGGTAAACAACCTGAAATTAAAGAAAAATAATACAATTTTGTATCAATTACCCAAGAGACATGATCCCTTTGGCCAGATTACCTTTAGGTATGTGGCGATCTAAGGTGGTGAGATTATTGGTTTCTTTATAGCAAACACCGTGTATCTAGACTGTTATGACTTCCGTAAGCTTTAAAAGCACAGAACTTGTAGAAATCTTTAAATTTCAAGGAATGTATATTGCATATCCGAATTCGTTTATAGCGTCAGAGAAATAACGTCATCTTAGTGGTACTGGATTTGCACTAGGTTTACATTCAGTTTCACGAGTTGGGCTACTGCTACAATATAAAAAGTTAGTAAGAAGTATATTCAAGACAATATTCTACAATGCTGTTATTGTTCAATTATTCAATTAATATAACACAAGCGGTATTGTCCATTCCACAAACTTCCTTTTCGACATCGACATATTTGACTTTTACTAACCTTATGCTACTGAACAACACTGGGACCCAGTTTCACAGATACCGTTGTTTATAACCCCGGCGGGACATTCCCCAAACACCATAGGTCGACACAGGCCCATTACAACTTCACAATTCTTTGGTGTTTCTAGAATTACAAATTATCGGCAATATACACAATTATAGGATACTTATCTCCTAGTATATTTCTAAAAACGAAAGCATATCCATACGTAAACTAAAAAAAATATATATATATGTATGTTACAACCCACAATTCGCCAAATTTATTTATTCAGTAGCTGCTATAATTATTCACGCTTCTACACTAGTAGTAACATTTTTTACAGCTAGTTGCGCACCTGCTAATTAGTGACTACTGCATGATTCTTACCACTTTCTATATATATTAAACATTAGTTTGAAATAATGAATGACTTAGAATGTTAGGACTAAAAGCTAAGGCCCATTGCAGATTTCGTCATTGGTCACGAGATGAAAATAGGGTTATGGCACGGGTTAGGGCTAACCTTAACCAATAATCTCGTCAACAATCGCGTGACTTAACCCTATTTACATCTCGTTACCTATGACGAATTTGATCGGCAATAGTCCTTAGCTTTTAGTCTGCCTATTGTAGATCTTCCTTTAGCTCTGACATGTTATATAAATTATTAATTAGACATTAATTAACGCATCCAGGCCATAACCAACTCTCGATGCCATCGCTAGCCTGCGATATTTAGCGGAATGGAATACACATTGTGAAGAATGATTAAACGTAAAACTGGATAATCGAGATTTTGTTTTTTATAGTACCGATCGAGGCTAGCCCAAAATTCTAATGCTAATATTTCGGTTCAGAGTGGAGCAATTTGACTGAACTTTTCAGCATATTCTATTTACGTCGTCTACTTTTAAAATATTCAGGACGGAGGGCCTGACAAGGACAGCTGTCTAGTCCTTCGGATGATACGAAAAACCGAGGTCCCGTGTATATATTGGAATGCACGTAAAAGATCCCTTGGCAGTTGGAATTCGATACAAGAGTAGGCGATAGTGCCGCTGCCCGGGCAAAAATTTCCCTCATAGCACAATGTATGGCGTATGCCCGTCTTCATTAGCCCAGCATAGGACGTTAAACCCCATTTCATTTCATTTCATTTTAAAATATTATAGCGAGAACTGTCAATTCTTTATCTAATCTCCCATAATTCCCCTTTAAATGAGTGCTTTGAAATGTTTTTTTTACAACTTAAATTTCAACGGTTTGTAAATATAACTGTCTTAGTTTTTTAACGTGTTTTGATGAAAGTTTCCATCAATGTTACCAACATTTTAAAGATGTCCAAATTCCGAGTTATTTATTTTAATTGTTTGTAAATTTGAGGGGGATGAATTAATAATAATTATTATTATTATTATTATTTTAGACCTCTACGCTTACCTAAAGGTTGAATATGTACATCATTTATTTAGCGACTGATTACTTTATTTTTCAGTGAAATGGAATAGGGTTTAATGTCATACTGTTCTGCTCCGACTGGGCTAATGAAGACGGTCATACGCCATACAGTATGTTATGAAGGCAATGACAGCGGCGCTAAGACCTACTCTTATATCGAATTCCAACTCCCAAGGGTTCTTTAACATGCACATCTATTTGTACCTATGTATTTCGTCCAACCTGAACGCTGTTCTTGTCAGGCCATCCGTCCTGAAACAAGGGGAAATCACGATGAACTTTCTCGGCCACCACTCGGAGCAACCCGCGATCTCCTGGCTAGCGAGTCAGCGTCTTACCGTCTTACGCACTGAGCTGTCGGGGCTACCCTACTAGGGTACTAAAACAATGTATATAATATCCTTTTTAAAAATATGTCTAAATTTGAATAGCCTGAACGTCAATATTTGCAGTTTTAGTATGAAAAATAAATCAATATCAATTTTGGAGCAATATCTTTTTTGGTAAATCTAAATTTTAATGGATTGAAAGTCTATATTTGCAATTATATTTTGGAAAATCAATCAATATCAATTGTGGGTATACATGAAAAGGTATTTTAATTATATGAATGAATATCGGACATTTCCTGACAATTTAAATAATAATTTAATATTTTAATCTTGATTTACTTAACTTTTTGACAATTATAAAATTTAAGAAACACAAAAACATAATATGAAAGACAATTTTGATTAAAGCGACGTTTCGTTGAGGTTTCTCTCAACGTTATCAAGACAGTGGAATCAAAATTTAATTATTTATGCCACCTGGCGAACTCTCGCTCTATAACGTTGAGAGAACCCTCAACGAAATGTCGCCTTTATTAAAATAGTAATTAGAATGTATTGAATATTTAATTTCAGGCAGGATTATTGTGTTTTGTTGTCAATGATCATCAGGATTATAATAGAAATTATTATTTAGATCTTTATTTACACGACAAGCTCCAACTCTGTAGACCCACGGATGGCTTGGATACAGTTTGGATTTAAACAGTCGTCCATTTAAAATTAAATCAAGAAATGGCGGACCAAGCTAACGTTTACCGTTAGTCGCTGATGTCACTACTGTAAAACAAAGAAGGATTTTGTAAATTGTAAATATAGTTGTTTAAGAATGTACAAGAAATAAATTGTTTTATGCTATTACAATATGTGTTTTTTTTTATTATATATTTTGGCAGATAAATATTCAAGTTGGCGGAAAAAAAATATCATCATTGTTTTACATAAAAATATTAATCCATTTTGGCGGAAAAAAATTGAAAGCCAGTGTGAGCCCTGTCTACAGGAAACTGGTGATGAAAGGCCTGCCAAGCGAGGCTACCATAGCCATTGAGCATGTTACTTGCTAATCGAGAATATGTGGGTGGAGTTATCGTCTGTCAATCAAAACGATCGCAAATTCTCATAGACGGTGCAGACACAATTGATGCCTATTTCTAGTCCAAACTTCCAACCGTGACAATTCCGTTCAGAACAAAGTAATTTTTTATCATCTATTTTTGAATTATTATAGCAAGAATGGCCAACTCTTTATAAAACTCTTAACTAATGTATCTTTAATAACAAATTTTAACCAATTGAAGTCGTTTTGTAAAAGCTAATGTTTAAATCATACGGTATTTTGCTGTAATGTTTGATAAGCATCGTTTCAATCATAACGCGTGGAGCCACGCTGGCTCAGTGAATAAGACGCTAACCTGGTGTAGAATGGAGGGCCTGACAAGGGATAACGTATAATCGTTCCGATGGTATAAAAAAACCGAGGTCGCGTGTACACATTGTCGTGCACTTAATAGAATAAAAGTAGACCATAGTGGCGACGCCCGGACACACGATCTTCATTAACCCAGTCGGAGCAGAACAGTAGGGCGTTAAACCCTATTTAATTTCATTTAATTATAACGCAACTCTTAAGATTATTAAAATCAAATATACAAAGCACTGTTACAAATATAAATAATAACATCCACTAGTATTTTATATAATAAGGGTAAATATTGTTGGGGACTCATCAGGGCGTGACCTGTCCTCGGCAAGTGGTCCGTACTAATAATAAAATGGTGCCCCATTCCGGTGTGAGGTGGTATTTTTGATTAAAAGAAGAATTGTTTTATTTTATTTTATGTGTCACACAGTGTAGATTTACAATAAAAATACATTTAAAATAATGAAATTATACAATGTCCGACTGTTTCGATCTGTAAGACATACCATGCAAGGCAACTCGTTTAAAATCGAAAAAATTCTACAAAGTTTAAAGGTGTAAAAAAGACAACATTGTACTATTATAGGCATAAAAAAGAACATTGTACTTATGACCTATAATATATTAGTAACTGGACGGTAAACTAACTGGTCAGTACGATTTGATAGTTACTGTATTCCATAAATCGGATTGGTATCCACCTGTTACGCTTTTAGGTTCTTTGAATCGGTTCTGGATGACAACACTGGTTTAAACTTCATATAATACTTTTATTGTTCAAACATATCATGCACAAAACTTAAGACTCCGTAATTAGCTAGTGTTGCGGGAGCCGTGGTCCCAGCTTGGCTTTACACCCTTGAGTGCCAACTCCCAACTAACTTACATGGCCCTTGTTCTAGCCTTAACCCAAGGCGCTCATGGCCTTCTCTGTTCACTAACTACTTTTGATTCCTGCTTTAAAACCCTTTCTAGACAAAGAATAATCGAAGAGATTATGCAGCTAGCTATATATTGCATCATATACTAGATTAAACGTTCAGTACAGATTGCTTTACAAGACATTACATAATTGGGCTAGCTATAAGTTTATATTATGGTAAGACTAATGAGTTCAATCTGGACAACCATGGATGTCGATAGCCGACATAAAGATATTTTAATCAATTCTACTTTCATGTGTCAAGATGGCATGACAACTATCAATAATATCTGCCATTATGTAACACACCTTTGTATTGAACTTGTTACAATAAAGTAAAGGGACCTAATCGCCACAACGGACTGCACATCCGTCCGTTTACATTAATAACATATCTGATTTGTATAACCTCGGATAAAACGAATGTTAGTTAGAAAAGTGACAAGAATAAAAATAAACTAATTTTTAGTTAACATTTTAGTTGTTACCTGTGCTGTATTGAAAGATTCAGTATTAAACCCTTCTGTACACACACCCCTTGAAACATGGTGTTATTACAAACAATTTGCGTGCCCAGGCTAAGCCAACGATGAGTAATATGGAGTCAAATTAAACCAGTCATAATATTTGACGTGTTATAAAGATAATTCAAAGTAAAACTTAACGCATCGATGGCCACCACACCACAATACTGAGCACAAGAAGGAACCTCGTGATTGCGACTGAAGATGCTCAGCTTTTGGGGGGTTTGGTCCCTTATATAATTGAGATTATCCATTATAGACCTTTTTATATCCCCAAATTTCACTTAATTCTATGTTATTATCATTTATATTTATTCTGTGTATTGCAAAGGTATAATAAAATTTTGTGTTAAAATTAATTTCATAAACTCGGTTCTAAAGAATCTGACGTGATACTTAAATAATGATTACTTTAAAATATGTTCTATTTTTACAGTTTTATATTTTACAGCCAATCGTTGTTTTTATTTATTTACAATCTGGATTAGATGTAAATGGTTTCAGACAATTTATTTAAATTTATTTCTTATCTTATGAAATAAGACGGCATATTTTACTATTTCTTATAAAAGTTATTACTTTTTTATGAAATCTTTTGATTGTTCACATTCTGAAGTGTTTATAATCGATATTTGTACTATGTAACCCACAGGATTCGTTACTCGTGGCTGACTTACCAAACTATTTCGTAAACATTTTAGACACACGACGTGTGGACGTGTATAGGGGTCAATAGCGCGATATATACCGCAATATTGAGTTCGTAATACGTCAACATATAGTGATTGTTCTGATGATTTTATCTCTGAAAAGATAATTGAATCAACGCGCTATGTTATGTCCCTATTTCGTTTTAAATGTGCACGATTGCGTTAAGATATTGCTATTCTGAAGCTTTGTCAACATATTCCATTTCATCGTAGTATATATCGATATGTTTGCAAATTATCGCCATGCGATATGTCGACGTGTGCATTTAAAAGGAAATGACGATATACATCATAGCAAGTCATTCAATTAACTCAGAAAAAATTGTTTGATTTTCAGAGATAAAATCATCAGAACAATTACAATGTTGACATTACCTACTTAGTATTGCGGTATCTATCACGCTACTGACCCCAATACGCTTCCATAGTTTCAAGTAATAACTGACCACATGACATATTAGATTTACTAAGTTAAAGTCGTTCTTAAGAGCTGATGTTCAAATATTACGTTATTTTGTTGTAATGTTTTAATCATAACACAACCCTTACATTATTCGATTGTCTGCGATATGACTTCCTAATGAAAGCGGGTGTTAAATAATGGTATTAAAGAATGTGTCAACGCTTTTAATATTTGCTTTTCTCTACTCACACCATTTTGAAACAAAATAATGAAACCAGGCAAGTGTCGAGATAATCGTCATATGATTTTAAAGATTTATTAGAATAAATTATATTTTCACGCAGCTTTCTAATCTTTGTCTTCAGTCTGATCAGCTTACTTCGAATGGATATCCGTGTTATCAAACGTCACGCAGTCGTCATGTAAAGCAGTAATTATAGACTGGTTCTCCGTGGTAATCGGAAATTTATTAATAATGCCTTTTACTACACTATTTGTAATTCTTGCAAATGAAAGTTTAGTTATTGTACTGAGATCATAGTGATCACCCAAACCTATCCTGCTAATCGAATCGATTGACAACAAATTAAAAATTAAAAACAAAAACAAATTAGAAAGATTTGTCCCCCACCCCCTTAACCCTAAAAGTCAATAATAGTCTCGAACAGTAAATCTGGTTAACCGAGACTACCCTTCGTTTCGTTTAATTCATTTAAAATACGAAACAAGTTGTTAATTTTATAACTTGGCAACACTTGTATTTTGGGAATATTTTAGGAACCTTGCAAAACTAAAAGAAAAATATAGGTTGCATTCTGATCTTGCCTAACACGAGTGTTTGGGAGATCTGAAATCGCCGAAACTAAACGACAGCACTCTAGATAAATAGCGAATTGAAAAATAAAAAGGACAATAATTTTAAAATTGTTAACGTAGTTAGCGATCCCATAATATCTTAAGACAAATGCGTGATGAGAATATTTTTAACATGTCTTTATATACCATTTAATAAAAAAACAGAAAAAAATTAGGGCGAGGGACACAGCAAGAATGGACTGCAAATTCAACTTTTAGATATCGGCTTAGTCGAAGAAATAAAACGTTAATTATGTGAAGTCATCGTTCAAAAATAGCTGAGAATGGCAGTTTCTGAAGCGACACGAATACAAAAAATCTGACTTTTAGTTAACATTTCGAGTAGTTACTTGTTGTAAATCGAAAAATATGTGTGTGTTATTAAAAAGAAATTGATTACCGACCGAGTGACCCTATTTTGTTTACTAGTAATCATGGTTACAGAAATGATAGTAAATAAATATTCCCTGAACAAGATTTTTTGTGCATATTGATCCGTATATAAATTTATAATTTATTTAAAAATAAACGAACTAACTATGTCTCAATTAGATTTAATTGTGACATTATAAGTACATAATTTGTTTTCGCCAGTACGACTACACGTTTTGTTTTCACCAGTACGACTACACACATTATTATATACTATTCAAAAAAAGTAGGGGATATTTGATTTTGGGGGCATAATACTAAAATATGCAAATGACTACGAAAAAAGTCACTATAGAACCTAACAGAAGAAACATTTCCAGTTACATGTGACGCCCAAACGCACCAATAGCTACCGCATGGAATGCAGGTGATGCTTGGGATCATCATGGGGGTCCAACCCAAGATTTGCACGACTCTGACTTTGAATGTTACAGTCATTGTGGCATTGAATTCCAGGGTGGAAACATCAGTTTAATTGTTTTAGTGACCAGAAAACAAATTTTGATATGCGTCGGCTTACCCAAAATGAAAGGTTACGTGCCCTTGGCATGCTACAGATCGGCACAACACAGGCGGTTGTGGCGCGGACGATGAATGTTTCTCAGTCTGTCATAAGCAGGCTATGGTCCAGATACCGTGATACACAATCTGTACAGGACAGACCACGCTCATGTCGACCAAGGGCGACAACTCAAGCCCAGGATCGATTTATCCGTACCTTGGCCTTGAGAAATCATGTCATTACAGCAAATCAGATCAGCGCTCGTCTTCAAACAGACACTGGTGTGAAAGTGAGTGGCCAGACGATTCGGAATCGACTGCATAGGGGTCACCTTCGCGCCCGACGTCCTCGCGTGATCCCTTGTTTGAGAGATCATCACATTCAGGCAAGACGTCGTTGGTGTAGGGATCGTCAACACTGGGATAATCGACGCTAGAGCAATGTGATGTTTTCAGATGAGTCAAGGTTCACTGTTGATTTTTTGGACAGACGTAGGAGGGTGTGGCGTCGTCGAAACGAGCGCTTCCAAGACGTTAACGTCATCAGACATGATCGATTTGGGGGTGGTTCTGTTATGGTGTGGGGAGGCATCACTGTTGCTGGAAGAACGGCTTTACATGTTGTTGCAGGGCGTGTTACAGGCCAGTACTACCGGGACAACATCTTGGCAGTCCATGTTGTGCCGTTCGCACGACGTCATGGCCGCCGTTTCATCTTCCAGGATGACAACGCAAGATGTCACAGGGCCAGGATCGTTACAGGTTACCTCCAACAACAGAACATCACCACATTACCTTGGCCAGCACTGAGTCCCGACCTCTCCCCCATCGAGCATGTCTGGGACATGCTTGGACAGAGGTTACGTCAACGTCAACAACGTCCTGCCAATGTCCTAGAACTTGCTGCTGCGTTGCAACAGGAATGGGACAATCTGGACCAAAATGACCTTAGACGTCTCATTAGGAGTATGCCACGTCGGATCAATGCTTGTTTGGCAAACAGAGGAGGATTTACCCGTTACTGACTTGGTTGTGATGCTGTGGTAACTTTTACCCTTATAATGGTCAGTCTGTGCCTTACTTAGTCTAACGATCATTTGGAATAAATAGATGAATGTGAACTTCATTTCATTTTGTCATTTGTTTCTTCGTCAGTTTCATTAGGTGACTTTAATAACACTTAAAAATCAAATATCCCCTACTTTTTTGGAATAGTATATATAGAATAGGCTTCAAAATAATAAAACGTTGAAATTAATCATAAAGTGTAATATTATCTTTTCAATACACAATATGGTATCAAACTACAAATACATTTTCAAAATCCCTACTGTGAGTTATCAGTTAGGGGTCCGATTGGACCTCCATGTTCCTGTCAAGCGTTGGGCCTGATTTTCATGTAACATAACTCTGCATGTGAGAAGCAGATGAATACCGATATCTTCACTACGTGTAAAAATGTATAGAAGACAAAGTCGCTAAATCTCAGAAAGCAGTGCCCAGTAGTTATTACAAAACACCATAAAACATGACAGACAAGGGTTAAAAAACACTTGCTAAACTTTTATTAGTTGGTTTACACATGCAGTAGTCAATACTAAGTAAACTAAACAGGGCAAGACGTTTTCCATTTGGTGACAATTTCTTTGGTCTTACCCGTAGATAAAACCAACAAATATACAAGCGAAGTGTGTTCAACTGTCGACCTAAATCAATGAGATTAACGTGTTTGTTTAGGAAAAGTCATTAAATCATTGTAAATTAAACTTCGTTAGATACAGTGCGTACAAGCTCGATTGTGTTCGAACTTTTCAAAAAGATTTCATCCTTTCAAATTTTATTTGAATTAACTAATATTTTGGGAAACATTATTGTATAAAAACATTGGGGAATTTTGACACGTAATCGTGGAAGAATTGTTTGAGTTTATATAATGAATACTATATAGTAAAATACACTACCAGCTTACCTGTGGCTGTAGCACAATCATCTCCTGTAAAATCGGGATTACAGTCACAAGAAAAGTCGGTACCACTGAGAGACGTACACTCTCCATTGCCGTTGCATGGGTCAGGGTTGCAATTATCAACTGAAATTTATAATACCATTTCACAATGATTGTGCTTATATATTGTGTTGTGACTCTCGTAACACTACATTGCACTCCACGGTGCATCTGCAAAAGTTGAACTAATGTTAATTCTACGTCTTCCAAACAAGCCAATATACCCTTTCTCGAGTATTATCTATCCTCGGGGGTGCGTAATTGGATTAAAATATATGTTGACTAGAATAGCATATATTTTTAACGTTTGAAATAAATGTGAACTGTCTGATCTGTTATTATTTTATGACATGAAGATATGCACTCGTGTGAAGGAAAACTCATTTGTAACTAACAAACGAAATGCATATTTTGACATTATCTTATTTCAAAACAAATTCGACCTTTGCTTTACGTCAGTCGAAATTGACATCGCCATAGGATGTCCGAGGTGAGACGTGGGTATAGAACAAGTTCATATCATGATGAAATTGATTTCTTCGGAGATGGACAATGATAGTGTTAAGCGGCGTTTAAAAGATACAACCTATGTATACAATCATCAGATGCAACATTTTGGTCGACTGGTTACACAATACAATGGTTCTATTCGTTGTGTGGCAATATTCTGGCAGTTTAGATATATTTTGCTGATGTCTCTAAAACAAAGTATATCACATTATATTAACTGTATCTTATCATTAGTGGAAGGGGAAGTTAATTTTATGGATATCCATTGATCATTTAATTACAAGGTGGGGGGGGGGGGGTATTGAATTTTGTGGTTAGTGATATATATAATCACCATCATAATACATTTTGGTTTAAAGATAAATCAGACTAAACTTTTATAGTTGTAATCTGGCTTGAAAAAAGACAAATCTTTGTATTTTACATTTGAATTTTTCTTTTATAGAATACGAAATGTAGATGCATGATTATTATCTTCCCGGCATGTACACCACAGTAACTGTCTAATAAGCGGTATAACTAGCTTTCGGGGTCCCCTTCTGTTATAAGAGCTTCCACTAGCCTGTCTCTCCATCGCACATATTACATTACAATACCCGTATCTTGTCATTAGTGGAAAGTCAATTTTATGGATATCTATTGATTATTTAATTACAGGAGGAATATTGAATTTTGTTGTTAATGATCATCACCATTACAATAATTTATATCTTAGTTTGAAGATAAACTAGACTAAACGGTTTATGTTTGTAACCTGGCTAGAAAAAATACAAAGCATATATTTTACATTTGAACAATATGTGTAGTTTATGACGTGTGTAGACTCAAAAATATTTTTATAAAGCGAAAACCTAGAATACGAAACGTAGATACATTATTATTACCTTGTGGGCATGTACAGTACTGTCTAATAAGCCGTTTAACTATCCTTCGGATGAACCTTCTGTTATAAGAACTTCTACTAGCATCTGTCTCCATCGCAACAACTAACACCACAATACTGAGCACAAGAAGGAACCTCATGATTGCGACTGAAGATGATCAACTTACTACAAGAGATGTGAAGGTCTGGTGGTTTTGGTCTCTTTATATAATCGAGATGGTCCCTTTTTATAACCCCTAATTTCACTTACTTCTATGTTATTATCATTTATTTTTATTCTATGTATTGCAAAGAAATAATAAAATTGTCAGTTAAAATTTAAATCATAAACTCGGTTCTAAAGAATCAGACGTGATACTTAAATAAGGATTTCTTTGAAATGTTCTATTTTTACATTTTTATTTTTACAGTTTTATATTTTACAGCAAATGGTTTATTTATTTATTTACAATCTGGATTGGATGTGAATAGTTTCAGACAATTTATTCAAATTCATTTTTTATTTTATGAAAGAAGACGGCATATTTTACTATTTCTCATAAAAGTTATTACCCTTTTTTATGAAATCTTTTGTTTGTTCACATTTTGAAGTGTTTATAATCGATGTGTGTACTGTATAACCCACAGGATTCGCACCTGTGGCTGATTTACCAAACTATTTCGTAACCATTATAGACACACGACGCGTGGAAGCGTATAGGGGTCAATTGTCCGATATATACCGCAATATTAAGTTGGTAATACGTCAACATATTGTGATTGTTCTGGTGATTTTATCTCTGAAAAGATAAATTTTGTCGAATCAATTGAATCAACGCGCTATGTTATATTTTTCAATTTCTTTTTATATGTATACGTTTGCGTTAAGATATTGCTATTCTGAAGCTTTGTCAACATATTCCATTTTATCGTAGTATATATCGATATGTTAGCAAATTATCGTCATGCGCTATGTGGACATGTGCATATTAAATACGATATACATCGTAGTGAGTCGGTCAATTAACTCGGCAAAAATTGTCTTTTCATAGATAAAATCCGCAGAACAATAATGATGACAATATGATGACATTACCAACTTAATATTACGATATCTATCGCGCTACTGACCCCAATACGCTTCCATAGTTACAATCAATAACTGACCACATGAAATAAACATTTACTAATGTAAAGTCGTTCTTAAAAGCTGATGTTCAAATCTTGCCTTATTTTGTTGTAATGTTTTAATCATAACACAACCCTTACATTATTCGATTGTCTGTGATATGACTTCCTAATGAAAGCGGGTGTTAAATAAAGGTATTAAAGAATGCGTCAACACTTTTAATATTTGCTTTTCTCTACTCACACCATTTTGAAACAAAATAATGAAACCAGGCAAGTGTCGAGATAATCGTCATATAATTTTAAAGATTTATTAGAATAAATTATATTTTCACGCAGCTTTCTAATCTTTGTTTTCAGTCTGATCAACTTACTTCGAATATCCGTGTTATCAAACGTCACGCAGTCGTCATGTAAAGCAGTAATTATAGACTGGTGCTCCGTGGTGATCGGAAATTTATTAATAATGCCTATTACTACACTATTTGTAATTCTTGCAAAGAAAATTTAGTTATTGTACTGAGATCATAGTGATCAACCAAACCAATGCTTGTTAGTGATTCATGGTTGGACGCCATTCCTGCTTATCGAATCGATTGGCAACAAATTAAAAATTAAAAAGAGTCAGTCGGTCAATTCCTATAAACAAATTAGAAAGATTTCTCCCCCACCCCCCTAAAAGTCAATCTGGTTAACTGAGACTCCCCTTCCTTTCGATTAATTCCATATACAAATTTAAAATACGAAACATTTTTTTAATTTTCTACCTTGACAACACTTGTCTTTTAGGAATATTTTAGGAAACTTGCAAAACTAAAAGAAAAATACGGGTTGCTTGGGAGATATGAAATCGCCGAAATTAAACGACAACACTCTAGATAAATAGCGAATTGAAAAATAAAAAGGACAATAATTTTAAAATTGTTAACGTAGTTAGCGATCCCATAATATCAAATGCGTGCTGAGAATATTTTTAACATGTCTTTATTTGCCATTTAATAAAAAAAAAAACAGAAAAAATTAGGGCGAGGGACACAGCAAGAATGGACTGCAAATTCAACTTTTAGATATCAGCTTAGTCGAAGAAATAAAAAGTTAATTATGTGAAGTGATTTTTCTTCAATAGCTGAGAATGGCAGTTTCTGAAGCGACACGAATACCAAAAATCTGACTTTTAGTTAATATTTCGAGTAGTTACTTGTTGTAAATCGAAAAATACGTGTGTGTTATTAAAAGAAATTGATTACCGACCGAGTGACCCTATTTTGTTGACTAGTAATCATGGTTACAGAAATGATAGTAAATAAGTATTCCCTGAACAAGATTTTTTGTGCATATTGATCCGTATATAAATTTATAATTTTATTTAAAAATAAACTAACAAACTCTGTCTCAATTAGATTTAATTGTGACATTATAAGTACATATTTTGTTTTCGCCATTACGACTACACGTTTTGTTTTCACCAGTACCACTACACACATTATTATATATAGAATAGGCTTCAAAATAATAAAACGTTGAAATTAATCATAAAGTGTAATATTATCTTTTCAAATGACGGTACGTAGATCGAATTGTGTATATTTTATAACTCAGAGCATTGCATTTAATTAGCTTACAGCTAAGCTTTTTATTAGTCGATTAGATATTTATTTTCGAATCTAAGATTTAGTTGCCCATTGGATTGATAAACCATAACAAAATTGTAGTTAGCTGAGCCATAAGCGAACGATTTTAACCCGGCGAGTGAATTAAATTTGTTCGAAAAGTGATATTGACTTTTCTTGTTAAAAGACAAGTTGACTCAAGCTTGTTATTTCGCTTTATCACAATAAATAAACTATTAAAAATACTTATGTTTTGAAAACTTTTAAACAATATCTAAAGAGCACAAGGCTTATTATATTGAATAAATGTCACTACAATGGACGTCCCATTTTTCGGGCCGTCCATATTTATCAACCAATCAACCAAACTGCTGACGTCAGATCGCACTAGTTTTGTTGACAATCTGCCAGAATGTGCAGCTTTCGGGGGTTTAATTAAGATCGATAATATCGGAAAGTGGCCTATTTTAAAATTTCCCCACCGAGAACACCAGCAGAAAGGCACAGAGCAATTCTCTGGTTTCAGAGCATTGGTACCCGTGATAGAATATACAAATTTAATTTCAGCGACAAGGCAGTGTTTTCCGACCATTTCTACAATGTCGACACCAACTACTAAATATGTATCTTCATATTAAATGATAATTAAGTATATTAATCTGTTAGGGTTTTTGAATGGACAAAAACATTTTAAATGTCATAGTTATATACATTAATGTATTTTCTGGAGAATGTCTTGTTTACATCTCTGACATAAAAATACATTTTGAATTAGAATTAATAAACTGGTCGTAATCAGACGTTGAAAACGTCATAGTAATATTAAACTATGTGTAGTATATAAAGTGTGTAGCCCCAAACCATTTTTAAAAAAGTACACGGAATAAGAATACAAAATGCAGATAAATGTGTATTACCTTGTGGACAAATCCCATGCAAATTTGGGAAAAAAGAATATATTCCGACCGACCGACATTAATTTTTTTTAGAAAAATAGGTGTAGTCTATAAAGTGCGTAGAAGCAGACCACTTAAAAAAGTAAATTAAAAAAGGACAAAAAATGCAGAAAAATGAATATTACCTGAACAATACCTGTCTAACCTGGCTTGGATCCTGTCTAAGGTATTTATTAGGTACCGACAATAGAAGTTAGTAGCCTGAGTCTCCATCGCAATGGCTAATACCACAATACTGAGTACAAGAAGGAACCTCATGATTGCGACTGAAGATGATCAACTTACTACAAGAGATGTGAAGATTTGATGGTTTTGGTCCCTTTATATAATGGAGATGCTGCATTATAGACTTTTTAATTAAAATAAAAAAAAAATAATAAAAAAAATAAAATATTCTCTAAGGTTCAATTACTTCTTTCTTTGTTGTTTTATTCTCATAAAATATGTTCAAAGTTCTTCAAGTGATACTTACAGCACAGTGAAATGTTCTTTTTTTACGTCTTTCGCCAGTTTTATCTTCGACAATAAATGTTTTATTTTTTTTATTATTATTTACAAACTGGATTGGTTTGAGACAATATTTATATCCCCCAAATATTAATTACTTATACGAAATGATCACTAATTTTTGTTCTGTGATATAAAAAAGGACATGTAATTTTGGGTTAAAATTAATCTCATAAATTCTGTTCTAAAGGTTCTCTCAAGTGATGCTGAACTAGATAACCTTTTTTATCTCACAAGTGATGCTTTTAAGCCTTTTACGTCTTGCGCATGTAATATATTTCACAAGAATTGTCATAACATTTTTTTTTATGTAATCTGTGACATAATATTTGGAAGTGTTGATAAATGAAATGAAATGAATGAGGTTTAACGTCCTACTGTCCTGCTCCTAACTGGGCTAATGAAGACAGTCATACGTCATACAGTGTGCTATGAGGGAAGTTTTGCCCGTTCAGCGGTACTACGGTCTACTTTTATATTGAATTCCAACTGTCAAGGGATCTTTTACGTGCACGCCAATGTGCACACGGGGCCTCTGTTTTTCGTGCCATCCGAACGACTAGACAGCTGTCCTCCGTCCTGCATCACTGACAACGGGGAAAGAGTTGATAAAAGTGCTGATGTATTCAACTGGTTTTTTTTTCATAAACAATATTTTTATTCAGGTTGTCTGAATGGGATTGGGGAACAGGCTTAGCCTATGTAAAACCCCTCTCCCTATTCAACTGTTATAAGCAATGGCGTAGCCGAGAGTTAGCTGAAAGGTAAACTTCGTAATCAGTAGCCGTACACCGGTTGAATTATCAGGAAACTGTCTTGGAACCATTCATTTAGTTAACTTTCAATGTTTTCATTTACACCTAGACTGTGTTACTTTAAAACAGTTAGGTGGTGGATGGCCGAATGGTTAGCGCATGTGCGTTGTATCACAAGGTCTGTCTTTAGGTCAACTGACGTGGTTTCGATTCCTCGGTTGTACGTGACAACGAGTAGGGTCGCATGTACAACCTCTTGGGTTAGCTC